TGCTGTCTGTCTAGACTGTTTCTTCTTCTCTTGATCCCCAACCCTCACTTGACAGAGTTGTCAATCTGCTTCCTTCTCAAGAGGTGGGTAGTTACACCCATTCTGCAGAGAGGGGCAAAAAAAGCTCAGAAAAGTTACTTTCTCATGCCTCAAGTTATCCAGCTTTGGATCACTGGATCACAGATGTGTGTGAAAAGGATGGTAAAAAAAAAAAATACTATCAACAATGACTTAAGAAATATTAACAGCCAACATTTACTAACAGCTAGATATTGCCCTGTTACAGATGAGGAAACCATGGTGCAGACAGGTGAAGTGACTGATTAAACTGAAGGCTGTTTAAACCCTCCAGAAGGATGGAAGCACAGCCTTTACAGCCACTCCTGGGTGGGGGTGCCTGGGGCTGCCACATTCCATGTTACCTGCTTTTTCTGAGGCTTCTCGCCTAGTCCTCACCAGCTACCCTACCGACTGGGCATCTTTTGTAACAGAGGTTACTGAGGCCCCCAGTTCTGTGCAGGTGGCAAATGGTAAGCAGCAGGGCCTGGATTTGAATAGGGAACTAACTACAGGTGCAGACTCACAACTCTCCCCTTTTGCAACCCTCACGCCTGCTGTGACCAGGAACAACCGGGTCCGCATGAACGGGCCCTCTCTTCTCCGAGGCTGTGAGGCTCAAGAGAGAGGAACAACGTCTGCCTCCATTTCTTCTGTCCTCCTCCGAGGATGTCCCTGTAGTAGGCTTCTTCCAGGGGGACTGTGTAGAATCGGACTCTGCCCCAGCAAATCTCAGGCCGGCCTCTCTCTTGCGTGGGCCTCCACTTCTCCATCTGTAAAATGGGGAGGCATGAACGCTCAGGCCGTTTTGTGTAATCTGCAAGGCGCTTTGGCAAAGGCCCCTTCTCTCCAGTGAAAGCCCAGCAAGGGGCCACAGCAAACCGATTGGAGCGTCCAGAACTTCATAAGTAAGGGATTTGCCCTCCCCCGGCCCAATTCTTTGGGCCTCAAGCAGCGACCCCCAAGCCCTGTCTACACTCGCCTTCGTGCTCTTAACTCAGAAAGTGATCTCTCAAATGCCTGGAAATATGCCCGCCCTAGCGAGGTCTGACGTTCCCCGTATCTACTCCGCACTGCACAGGTAAGAAGAATGAGCTCAGAGAGGAGCAGCCTTTTGCCCGAGGTCACACAGCGAAGGACTAGGGGGTGGGGAATGGTGGGGGAGCGGTGTTGTGGAATTCCAGGCGGACATTGGCGCCCGCTTGTCTGCCCGCTTCTGATACCCGGGTTCGGGAGAATAGGCCGCTAACGAGCGGCCCATTAGGAGGAATTGTCACTCCTCTGGGAGCGAGGTTGTCCCATTAGGGCGAATTGTCATTCCTCCTGGAGCGAGGTTGTCCCGGCTCCGCGCAGGCTGAGTGCCGGGGCCGAGAGCAATTAACGCGGCTCCGGCCCGGGCAGCCGCCTCTGCCCGGGGCAGCGGGGGCGGGGCGCCCGGCGCGGCTGGAGCCGGTCACCCGGCGCAGCCCCTTCCCCCGGAGCCCGCCTTTCATCTCCCCGCGCCTGGCGCCTGCCCGCAGCCCTGGCCCGTCTACAGCCCCCTCCCCCGCCCATCCCCCGCCTCCTCCGAGCCGCCAGGATCCAGCGACCGGTCCTGGAGTTGCAGGCGCGGCGGTCCGCGCGCACTCCTTCACGGCTTTCGCCTCCAGACTTGCGGTGCGCGTGCGCGGCCGCTCCACGCGGGGCTGGGGCGCGTGCGAACGTGGAGAGCGGCGAGTCTGCGCGCACCCGCCGGTGCTGCAAGGGGGATGCCCCGGTCCTCCGCTCCTAGCTGCGTGACCTCGCCGCAGAATTACCGCTTCTTGGCTTTAGGCTTTTCATGGGAAAATAATTTCTGCCCGAGCGATGTGTTGGAAGAAACAAATGAGACCCTGGAAGACAGGTTCAGATACTAATGCAGAGGTGATGCTCAGTGGTGACTGAGTTCCTGTTGGAACCTCACATTTTTGCTTGCGAATGTGTCACGAACTCACCTTTACTGAATGCTCCGTACATGCCAAATCCAGGCCTCTGCTAAGGGACCGTATGCTTTTCAGGGCGAGCCGAATTCTCAGTCCCGAAGATTTTACAAAGAACCCATCATGAACTCCGTGAAAGGGAGCGACACGCCTCATTTTGGATATCTGGCAGAGAAAGCAATAAATTGTTGCTGCTTTTGATATACAATAATGTGGTGGCGTTTGTTTGGACCCCCTACACCTGCTAGTTATTTTCTCTAGCCTCTTGAATGGAACTGCCACTAGAGTCATTCTTGTTAGGGATTCTTTCATTCTAGAGATTTTTTTTTTTTTTTTTTTAAAGACGGAGTGGGGGGTGCGTAAGGAAGAAGTAAAGCGACCAGGGTCACGCGGCCAGGAAGAGGTGAATACAATATTCTAAAAAACGCAGCCAACTCAGGAGCAAATGCACAGACGGGGCTTTCCATAAAAGGTTAGAATTATGTTGCGCTTCCACTCTTCACAGCAGAAGAGAGACCCTTTCCAGAATTGTCCAACCCCAGCAGGGAGCTGGGGAGGGAGCCGGCAGAAAATAAGACAGGCTGGTTTCTCCCTGGACATCTATTCATGACCAAAACTTAGTATCCTGGCTTAGAACACCAGTTTTTTTTTTTTTAATTTCTTCTATTTTGTCATTTCCGGCTTCATACGTTTCATCCCTTGCCTCGACATCAGGAGTAGGGGAGAGGAACTTACCGGATCCTCTCCTAGAAAAGTTCATCAAACGAGCTCTAGTAGTACTGATTTAAGGAAAAGAAAAAACCTCAGGAATGAGTCTGCATGTCCCCTAACTGACAAATACTAACAAGGAGTTTTCAAGAACAGTTATCCAACAGTGGCTGGGTACCACCCAACTGAAAACTGAACCATTTGTACATTTTGGCAGCTGAGTACTAAACGAATTTCAGGTTTTGCTTCCAAAATATATACCCTGCACCTTGCTTAGCTACCTCTAGAAGGCACAGAACTTAATGTGGATTTACTGTACAGTATTTGAGATGCTTATCGAGCCAACTATCAAGTATGACTCAAGGGGAAAATGCATAAGGCATATATCTCCAGATAGCTTTCATAATTGTTGTGTGTGAATTTTTAAATAACTTTCTCTGAACTTTCAGTTTCTTGATAGTGGTGGGAGAGGAGGTTTGAGAAGGCTGTGGTTAGGACTTATTTACTTTTAATCATTTATTCAGGACCATTTTTAATCAATTTGAGTTAAGTGGCCAGTGCAGTGTTTTTATCCTCTAAGAGTCAGTAACACTTATTCTGGTTATCCTAGGCCAGCACAGTTTCACTCCAGGCAGAGGTTTGGGGTGAAGGGACATGCTCTAGGAAGTGGATCTAGGGGTCAAGTTTCTCTTGCATAGCGAGGTAGCTCCAAGGTCTGGTCATTTCACTAGTTAAAAACAATGTCCCTTCTTTCCAAAGCTTTGGGAACTGTTTAACAAGCATCTGCTGTGTGCAAGTCCCTGAGCTGGGATACTTCTATTCACCTCATCATCTTTAGGATATAGGAAATCACTCAGATATAGGAAAAGGCAACCAGAGCACAGGAGGAGTCATTTGAAGCAATAGGTGTTGACCCAGTGGCCTGCGGTGAGACTGGTCTCTGCACTTTGTAAGCTTCTGTGCTCTCCCCTTTCCCATACTGAGACAGTCATCACTAAGGCTTTGAGATGTAATTACCCAGGGTATAATTTCAAGTGGGGTGGGGATATCTATACTTTGTTGTTGTTGTTGTTGTTGTTGTTGTTTTTTAACCAGATGCAATGAATAAAAATGTGCTTCCCTAAAAGACACACAGGCTGAGGTGTGCAAACTTGGCACCCAATATTTATGAGATTTGCGGGGGGTGGGGGGGTGGGGGGTGGTGGTGGTTGGGAATCACTAGATATTATCTATGCCTTTTCCTCCCTCCTCCTCCTTGAAGACAAACACTGGCACCTAAACACACATGACAAACACAGGCTCAAACAAACTCATAAACAAACAATGCACGCAGTCTTGAGAAAAAGGTCGGATCCGGATTTCGTCCAGTGAGGAGATTCAGGGAAAAGAAAACGCCAGGATTTCGAGTTTTAAGAGTGTGCTGGTTTTGCTTTTGAGTGTAAGAGATGGAAAGCCCTGCTTTAAATTTTCCAGCTATTTGGGAGAGGGTTGTCGTAACCACCTACCTCTCTGACTCCCTCCGACCCCTATCCTAGGGAAGTTATAGTAATAGCAAACGCTGCTGGGCACTTGCTAATAGCGAAATATCTTCTCTTATAAGCGCCATGCATGTAGTATTTCCTTTAACAGGGATGCTGGCCCTTGCTTTCAGTGCTGACCCCGAAAACTGTTAAGTTAGCCCAGTTTCGGCCATAGTAGGAGCTTCATCAAAGTTTTTTGCAATGTCAGTTGCAGATTTTAAACGTGTTCTGGAGCGGGGAAACTTTTTAAAAGAGGGGTCAAAAGAGAGAAGAAATGGGACTCGGCGAACTTCCTCTTTAAATAATCGGCCTTAATTACGCCTTAGACTTTTCAGTTTTGGCGTGATTATAACCCTTGAGGGATCGCCTAATAACAACTCTGCTGACTGCTCCTGTAATTAACTCCTAATTTATTTCAAACAGAAAAAAAAAAAAAAGTCCCAGCCTCTTCCGGAAGACCCAATCGGAGGCTAGCGTTCGTGGCGTCAGCGCCAGGGCCAGCGCGGATTGGCTGAGCGCAGTCTCTCACTTCCCCTTGGAGGAAAGGCACGGCTCCCGGCGCGCCCCTCCCGTCTCCTCCCAAAAAAGTTTGAGTCGCAGCTGCCGGGTTGCCAGCGGAGTCGCGCGCTGGGAGCTACGTAGGGCAGAGAAGTCATGGCTTCTCCGTCCAAAGGCAATGACCTGTTTTCGTCTGATGAGGAGGGCCCGGCGATGGTGGCCGGACCGGGCCCGGGGCCTGGGGGCGCCGAAGGGGCAGCGGAGGAGCGCCGCGTCAAGGTCTCCAGCCTGCCCTTCAGTGTGGAGGCGCTCATGTCGGACAAGAAGCCGCCCAAGGAGACGTCCCCACGGCCAGCCGAAAGCGCCTCCGCCGGAGCCACCCTGCGGCCGCTTCTGCTGCCTGGCCACGGCGTCCGGGAAGCTCACAGCCCCGGGCCGCTGGTCAAGCCCTTCGAGACCGCCTCGGTCAAGTCGGAAAATTCAGAAGACGGAGCGGCGTGGATGCAGGAACCGGGCAGATACTCGCCGCCGCCAAGTGAGTGCCTGCGGGAGCCGGGACCAGGAGTAGATGGGGTGCGCGGGGTGCCGAAGGGAACTAGGGGCCAGTATTCCAAGCTGTGGGTACGGAGGCCCCTCTGTACTATGCGCCCCCTAAAGCAAGCATTGCAAGGTCTTGGCCCCTTAATAATCCCCAGAGTCCAGCGGCATCCAAGACACCTTCTGGGTGATACTCGCGCAGCGCGTGTTCGGGATCCCCCAGCTGTACCAAGTATTCGATACAATTGCCACCTCCCTCGTCTTTGAAGGGCGAACCCAGCTGGGTTGGCGGGGGTCGCTCGGTTGTCGTTTGCTCTAGCCCACAGCCCTGCGCTCAGGCCACTTCGCTTTTTCTCACTGTCCGTCGGGGTTTCAGCGTAGGGAGTGAAGAAGGATTCTCGTTTAATGTGCACCCGAATATATGCCAGGCAGAAGCGGAGTGTCTTACTGTTTTTCAAAGTTCAGAACCCTGCGAGGTGTGCCCTCATTTTAAAGATAAGCGCGTTAAAATCTAATCGGACTTGGGGGTAGCAGCGATCATCTTCCGTTGGTCCCCGGGGCATCGAAGCACGATCCCTCGGAGGGATGACGGCAGAGACCTATGCGGCGAGGAAATATCTCCCGACGGCCGGCATGTCCCTTCGCTGGGAGCGGGCTGGGGTCAGTGGCGTGGGGCTCCGTTTGGCTCAGAGTAATAATTAACAGCATTCCAGCAGCGCTTGAGTTTACAAAGTGGTGCTTATTAGTTCACCAGATCCCGGTCATCGCTGGAACCTCCAAGTGTGGGGAGAAGCCCGGGACCTGTGGTTATCTCAGTTTTCAGACACCAAGACTTTGAGGATTAAACTTGCTTGAGCCTGGTCACCAACAGTGGCAGAACTGGGCCAGGGGCCCTGGTGTCCAAGCCCTAGCCCTGGCCGCCTTTGATCCTCCTACCCAGAGAGACCAAGCAGAGGCTGAAACACCTGCACCCCGCTTCCTGCCAAAAAGGAAAAACAGAGAGGCCCAGAAGAGCTGATTTCTCTTCCAGCATTTACATCTATTTTGGGGCCTTGTGTATTTTTTGCAATTTGGACAACCCATTCATTCCCTATAGCTCCTTTTACTTATATCTCCTGACCTTTAAGATCTCTCTGTCCGCACTGTACCTCTAGGAAAGGTGAGAGAGAAGGGGCCAGCGGAGGGATTTTTTTTCCCCAAAGCTAGGAGCATCACATTTTACCCTATTTCCATCAACTGGGAAAACTCAGATACAAAGTATTTTGTGAACAGAACAAGGCCATATAACCAGACATCAGTGGCGGTCCCCTCTGGCATCTTTCTCCACCCTGTTAGAAACTCCAGAAGATTCAAAGGGCATGGAGATTAAGGACTCAAAGAATTTAAACTCAAGTTTGCACAGCGCTTTATAGCACTTTTCACCATATTATCTTATCTGATCTCTGTGTGGCTGAAGCCAGCCTCCCAGTAACAGATGAGGACATTTCAGCAGAGTTCAGAGGAATCTGCACACATCGAGTTTGGGCTTGACAAGAAAGGCTTGGGGACATTTAATGATCACCTACCTGGTGGCAGCCCAGGACTCTGGGCATTCTAAAATTCGGTACTCTGAACTGCAGGATCAGTATTAGTTACCCATTTTATTGATGGTGAAATAGAGGCTCAGAAACTTTAAGGAACTTAATTTGTTTTGACAAATATTGCGTGTCTTGTGTATTCATAGGCCTGGGTCAATTCCCAGCCTCCATCAATGATTCAGACCTTACAGGGAGTAGTGTCCAGAGGTCAGAGATTTCCACTTCCTTAGGTTCTTGGTGTTCTGTAAATATGCCTGCCAGGGCCCAAGGTAAGGCAGCCCTGGATATGGCCTTCTCATGAGAAAAATTGGAGATTATGAGAAAGGATTTAACTTTAAAATAAACTTTAAAGTTTGTTTTAACTTTAAAACAAAGAGTGGGTCAGTCGTGGTTTAGGCCTGGAGATGGCCTCGGGAGCCCTGTGGTAGAAGCAGTGGGCTCCGAGAGGCTGGGGCAGGAGGGAGCCACTTACCCAGCCCGGGTTTTGTTATTCATAGGCAGTAGGACCCTATGCCATTTTGCTTGGTATAATCTCCTCCTTCCTCAGGCTTAAAATGGAGTAGAGATGGGAGGGCGAGGAGTGGTATGCTGGGTAGGAAGCCTCATAACCTTATAGCTTTGATATACAGCAAGATACCCATCTCCTGGACTTCATAATTCAGATGCAGGCCCTAGGATCAGCAGAATGACTGTGCCCAGGCATGGAGTTCCTTTCAACAGGGGCAAGTGTAGACTCCAAAAGCTTGGTGTCTGTGCTGTGACCACTGGGTTCTCCCAAGCAGCCGGGTCAAGTCTTTGAAGGGTGAGAATTTCACAGATCTCTGAGTCTCTGTTGTTATTTTATTTGTAAATTAAGAAGTAGGCACCCCTAGCTCTCTGGCTTACTTAGGGATTAGCATATGCAAAAGTATGCACTCCTGTGGTAATTTCTTAGCCATCCATTGCCCAGACTTCTGGTTTTTGACTGAGTGCAGAACCCACTACCTCTTTTTAATCACTTAAAGTGATGGTTAATAATGTCACATTAGGACAAGTCCATTTCTTGTTGGAAAGGGAGGCTGGGTTGGCCCTTGTGCCGCGTCACCCTCAACTATGAAGTGCAAACTTCCTTGGGCACCAAAGTAACTAAACAAGAAATGCGGCATTCTCCCTTTGCGGTGCTTACTACTGTGGCTGCGTTTGGAAAATTAGCATAGCTCATAAAAGCCAGATGCAGAAAATGAATTGTTTAGCATCTGTCCCTTACCTCCCCCCCCCCCACCCCCCCGGCCCAATTCCCTTTAAGGAAGAGCCCAAAGTTAGTTGATTCTATGGAAACAAGGATGCTCGGTCCTGTGACTTCCTATAATTGAATCCATTTTAAATGTAGAGGCTGGATGCCATTGGCATACCTTTATTTTGCTTGTTATTCTTTCTTTCTAAACTCCAGCAACAAGCTAATCATTTACACGTTTGCTCCAAACCATAGAATGGGTAGGAGAGATGACTAAGATGTCATCACATGCTCTCAATTCAGGAGGCAGCATGATTTCCCCTGACATTTACATTTATGGGCAAGCTAATTTTTCCCTCCTTCTGTAAAGTTTATATTACAGAAGCACCCAGCCAAGAAAGTTATCCCACATCCAGTTCTGTGAAATGATGTTCAGGTTTTATAATCTGTAGACTGGAGGGAACGACAGCTGTGTGGTTGTTTATTGCATGAGGCTGCTCCCCAATCCAGAGATGCTATTAATTTACTGCAGACCTTATCGGCACAATTATCCTCCATAAATGTGCTGATGCAATCCCAACATTTCCTGGTACAGAGAGGGGACCAACTCAGTTTATAAGATCCTGTTCATTTTCCTTCTCATATGTGATTATTTCAGCATCCTAGGGATGTGAGGATTATCATGAAACACCCCCCCCCCTTTAAGATGAGTCATCAGGAAGAGACGGGGTTTTGTTTTTCAGACAACCCTCAGCTCTCTTGGCATATCAGGGATCTGTTTATGTTTCATGATCTCTAATGCTGTGACACCATTTAACTCCCCAACTTTTTGTAAAAAGTTTCAATTTTTTAAAGCAAAACAACAAATCCATTAAAGTTTGGTCCTTCTCAACCCTCCACCACCAAAAAACACATCAACCATTCATGGTTTTCACCGAGGTTCCTTTTTGAACGATGAAGAGGAGCCCCTCCCTCCCACATGGACATACCTGGTGACAAAGCCACTTTCTTTTGCTAACTCACTCTCCATTTCTGTTCCTTAGGACACATGAGCCCCACCACCTGCACCCTGCGGAAACACAAGACCAATCGGAAGCCGCGCACACCCTTTACCACGTCCCAGCTCCTCGCTCTGGAGCGCAAGTTCCGCCAGAAACAGTACCTCTCCATCGCAGAGCGGGCAGAGTTCTCCAGCTCTCTGAACCTCACAGAGACCCAGGTCAAAATCTGGTTCCAGAACCGAAGAGCCAAGGCGAAAAGACTGCAGGAGGCAGAACTGGAAAAGCTGAAAATGGCTGCAAAACCTATGCTGCCTTCCGGCTTCAGCCTCCCTTTCCCCATCAACTCTCCCCTGCAAGCAGCATCTCTATATGGTGCATCTTACCCTTTCCATAGACCTGTGCTCCCCATCCCGCCTGTCGGACTCTATGCAACTCCAGTGGGATATGGCATGTACCACCTATCCTAAGGAAGACCAACTCAATAGACTCCGGGATGGATGTTTGTTTAAAAGCCTCCCCCCTCCCTCTCCAAGAAGACAGTCCCGCTCTGCAAACATTGCATGCACCACCCTCAGCCTCAGCGGCTAGGTCGACAGGGCCACAGACATATTTCCAATTGCTTCTTTTGACTGGAGACACCCAAGCCCCATTTTCTTGGTTAATCTGCCAGATGCGGACCCCCCCCCCTTCTCCTTTCATAAAGATTGGCTCTGATGGTTTTTATATATAAATATATATATAATAAAATATAATACATTTTTATACAGCAGACATAAAAATCAAATTATTTTGAAAGGCAAAATATATATATATATATATATCCTTTTTCTCTATATATCACCTTCCTAAAAGACTGCTTAAGTCTACCTGTTGTTTATTTTCTTATGGGGGAGACAAATTATTTGCTAAAATTGCTGAAATCTGGTGATTTGGATGGAATAACTGACTTTAGCTTATGGAAAACAAACGTTAGAATTAGACATTACTTGCATAAGGAGTAGATATGGAGAGATTCCTCCCAGGGAAGGGACACACCATGTTTTTGCATTTTTCATGTGCATTAAAAACTCACATACATTGAAAACTCACCAGGCATGACCCTATTTGGCCCTATATTTTCCCCCCTCTCCACCTTGTTTGTTACACATTATTAAAAGTTTTTGTAAGATCAGTAAAAGATGAGACTCCTAAGAGTCCTCAGGGGTAAGGTGGAAAACGGAGGTCCTTCCTAATTCCTCTCAAGGCTGTTGCTTAACTTCATTTCCGATAACTGGGGAGTGAAAAGTTAAAGCGTGTTGGGAGGAATTGATGTTTCTGAACCACTAGGTACGTCAGTCCTCACGCATTGCAAAGGCAATTGGGGGAGGGGTGTAGTTAATTATCTGCTTTAAAAAAATGAGTATTTTGTAACCATTGTCTATATGCTAAATATTCTTGAACAATGAATAGATCCAAAAGAAAGAAAATCATGCTTTCTCTGTGTGTACCTATTGTATGTGCTAAACTTATTAGAAAAATTTATATACTTTTTAACATGTTGGGGGCAGAGGGTAAAGCCATGTTTTGACTTGGTAAAAAACAGTGTTGTCAGACAGCCCATATAGCTCCTTGGTATTTAATCTTTCTATCCAGACCCCCCTCCCTGCCCCAAGTATACTTTTATCCCTTTGAAAGGGTGCCTTGTATAATTTTATATATTTTATTGAAGAGTTATTTCTTATCTCTTATTCTGAATTAAATTAAACGTTTGTTTTATTGCAGTAAAGTCTGTCCAAAGTCACAATTATTTTTAAGAGGCGCTCTGTGTTGTTTAGCTGGACTTAGCCCAGAAATGCCACCCAGATGGGGGAGGGGGCCTGGTAATTTTTATGATGATTTTAATGTGAATCAATCAAGAGCTGTGGCCAGATTCAGCCCGGGGTAGGGAAGTCCATTGAAAACAGCAAAAGACTTTGAACTGCTTCCTTTAGCAGCTTGTGTTACTCACAGAAAATTGCTATTAGGAGTTTTTCAAATCAGTGAAAGATGAGCTTAGAAGTGGCAGGGCCCAGGGATAGGCCAGAATCTGAAGGGTTTTTCAAGGGAAAAATCTTGAACTTGAAATCTTAGCTAAACAAAACAAGCTGAGGGAACGGACCTATATAGTTCTTTGCAAATGGAGATGGTAACTGGATGCATTCGCTTGGGGGGTTGGGTGCAGGATAGATGGATGCCTGTTGCCCTTTCAGGACTGTGTCAAATCACGTTCCGTTTACCATTCCTATCTGCCTTCCAAGGAGATCGATCTTGCACAAATGCTCTTTTCGGTTTGTAGCGGGAAGGTAGTCCATTCAAGTGCCCTTTGCTTTGCAATCTCTCTTTCCCCTGGCTACGGAACGGGGGTCAGGCTTGGGTTTTGAAGCATCACCATGAAAGTAAATTGCTAATGGGTAGAGGAAGCGGGGAAGAATCAAACTCCGCTTTCTTTTGCACAAAGAAACCAAGCGGCCATTGATGATACCTTTCCGAGGGCTGTTTTCGGATGAGGGGCTCCGGTGACCCTGGGAACAAGTCGGAAGGGAGCGGAAAGCTTGGTGGTGGAGGGACTGGAACCTGACACCTACTAGGACTAGCGCTTTCGTCCATTTCCTTTGTGCCCACACCCGGTTTAGAGGTGGGCTCCGGAAACTCCATTTTCCGGTCGGGCAGAGGCTCCCAAGGTCGGGCGGTGAGTTTCTCCTGCGAAGTGTAATCCAAACCCAGGGATCTCCTCCGAAGTTGGGGGTCCGACCGATTTCTCCCAGCTCCGCCACTGCACTCCGGAGCTGGAGTGATCTGCAGGGGCATCTCAAACCTCCCGGAACTTGTGCCCTAGCCGTCCCGCTGGGCCATCTCGTTTACGGGATGCGTTTTCCGAAGGCCGAAGCCCTTCCCGGTTTCATCATCAGCCGCCAAGCTGGGTCCCTAATGAACCAGCCCATCGAGCTTCTTTCCCGGGGCCTCTCAGACCCCAACCTCCGGCTATCTCAGCCCAGGATAAGGGATCCGGAGACACTGCCGCCTCTGGGTTAAGAGTCAGCTTGCCCCAGGGAGGAGGGGGTCACTGGCCAGAGTGGTTTTCGGAGAATCCGGGCTGCGTCCTGAGTGGTCAGCGGGGCGGATTGGAAACCGTCTAAGCGTCTGCGCATTTCCTCAGTCGCCCTAAATCCCACGAAAAACTGAGGCCGGGAGGGGGAAAGAGTCGCTCGGGCTCCAATACATGCACCCTGGGGCTCCTGGGTGGATGGGGTTACCCCCTAGTCGAGGACGTGGCCGGGTTACCGGCGTCCAGACCACGGCCAGAGGTGCGCGGCGCCGCCGGTGCGCGGTGCCCCGGGGCTCCCTCGGAACTGCCGGCCCCGCCTTAGGTTTGGCAGTCGCCAGGGTCCCTGCATATGTCGGGCTTGGTATGCCAGGCGTTTCAGGGACCAGACCAACAACCTGCGGTGACAGAGGGCCCTGAGTCACCAAGGACCCGCGCAGCGCGCCTTGGAAATGAAAACCGAAGATGTCCGTGTGCCGGCTTTGGCCACAGCCGCCTGCGCTGTCGGGAGACTGGTACACAGCTCCACCCTCCCTTCTGTAATTCTTAAGGCTTCTATCTAAAACTTCCCAGCAAGACGGTTCTGCTCTCAGGAAGCAGGGAGGACGGAAAGAAGAGGGAATCCTATGTATTGAGCTCCTACTAAGTATGGTACTAGGCATCTTCCGGCTCATCTCATCTAGTCATTGCACACCCCCCTGGGGAGGTATTATTGATGCCATTTTATAGGTGAGGAAACTGAGGCCCAGGGTCTCACTAAGGTCCCACAGGCCATAAAGGGCAGCAGCAGAATTCAGGCCCAAGTGTGAGCCTGGTGGTAGGGGTGAAGTCTGGCAAAGGGGGTCCTGAGGGACCTGTCTCAGAGGAGTTGAGAGATGAAGGACCCCAGGGAGCTCTCCAGACCCCCCAGCACAGCCCTGCTCTGGAGTCCCTCTCTGCATCCCTTTCCCCACCCCTCATTGCTGTAAGGGGCTCCTCACCCAAGGTGCCAGCTTCTCCATCACAGGGGACCTGAGGCTCAGCCTGACCAGCCTCCTCCCCCTTGCAGCCCTGGGGAGGAGCAGGGCCGGCAGGAGGTAAGCGGCGAAGGCCCGGCTGGCTGAGAGCAGGCGCTGGTGAAACGTCTGCCTGACCCGACTGAAAAGAGGATCCCTGCCTTTGAGCAGAACCTTGTCTGACCGAATGAAAACTCCCACGGCCATTCTTTGCTATAAAAGCGGCTCATTTGCCACGGGTTGGAGAGGCCACCTCCCCACCCCCAATCCCTTTCCAGTGCTGGGTTTGGAATAAACATAAACCTCATTTATAAAAGAACCCACGTCACACACACACACACACACACACACACACACACCCCTCCCTGAAGGCACAGGGCCCAATTGGTGAAGTTGATTGTGCCTGTTTTCCCCTTCAATGTAAGTTAAAAAAAGAAATCTCAAGATTGGTGATGCTGTAGGCTTCCTTTATGAAATCAATGAAATCGGTCAGAGAGCAATGAGGAAAAGTCTGCTGTCAACTCCTGGACCCTCCACCCCTCTCCCACCCCCGACAACCCTCTCACCTCCCTCCCTGCTAGAAACTAAATAAAAAGCAGTAAAATTACTTTCCAAAATAGCCTGCTTCAAAGCAGAACAGAGTGCCCGGCTGCGGGAATCCTGAATCCTGCCCTGATAAGGTTCATAATAATCAAATCCAAACTCCATCCACCTCCTCTGACTCTTTCCAACCTCCTCCGGACCCCTCTGCATTTGTTGATGAAAACACTTTGATGTCCTGAGTCCTCCAAACAATTATTATTATAATTTTAAACAACCTGGTATTTTCCATTACTAACGGCTCGGGCTTTGAAGTTACACCTCATAATTTCCTAAATTAAATAAATCATTTTAAGTTTGCACTGGGAGGCTTTTAATAGCAGAGAAAGGAATATCATTATCTTATTGAGACCCAATTGTGGTGGCTCCAGTTTGGCTGTAGCTAGGGGCAAAGTAGGCTCACTCTAACAGACCTACTTTATTAACCTCCCATAACTCTTGAAAGAACATTTTTATATTTTCTTTGATTTCCCCCCTCCCTCTCTTGTTTTAAAGCTGTCCCAACCTTTAATTAGTGCCTAATATGAAAAGCATTATTTTTTTAATGCTATGTAATTTACCAGCGGCAACAGGCCAACTTAACAATTGTTTATTAGACTTGGTTTTTCACACAGGGCAAAGAATGCCGCTCCAAACCCAACTTTTCATGGGTGGTTGCACTAATTAATACAGTGTCTGAGGCTCCTAGGGGGTTTTTTAATATTGAAGCCTATGGGGGCGGAAGGGGGTTTTAGAAGTCCAGCTCCCGCCGCCGACGTTCTCGCTCTGATTTCTTTCATGCTGTTTTGATCCTGTCTGTGGAGTCAGCACA